CCCCCTTGCTTCTCCCGATATTCAGCTTATAAAATAGGAGTTGTAAATGTTTTGAATTATTTAAAAGGTTCAAATATTTATTTCAAATTTGGTTTTGTATCTTCTCTTTCGTTATTGCTTTCCTGTTTCAAACCAGTATTTCTTCTTGGGTTCAGGATACTAAATTCATACTGGTTTGTTTCCTTCTGAAGTATTAGAAACACTTTTTCAAAATGTGTACTTATCAGCTTGCTTGATAATTATTCTTAGTCGGTTTTACATTTTTGATATAGATCTACATAATGGAGGCCAGTTTTCTGTTTAAAACTGAGTTTTACTTTCTTTTTTGTGTTGTGTTTGTGGTTTTTTTAAATTAAATTACCAGTTATAAATAGCTGGCAAAAGTGACTTGTGTTTTATTAAGACCATATTAAAAGTAAACTTGTGAAATAATTCTTATGTCAGGAAGAGCAGAAAAAGGCAAACCAATTTCCACAGGAAAGAATCCCTAAACTTTATTATATTTTACATTTTACACTTGAACTATGGTTATAGCTATTCTCTTGATTTGCCACGTGCATGCCTTTAACATTTTGTTAAATCATACAGAATAAGATGTGAAGGTGGGAGAAGATCATAGGGTGGCCCAGCAGTTGCAGCATCTAAAGACACAGTGAAGCAGGCAATTGAGTAAAAACTATTTAAAATTATATTACTTGCTTCCGTAATTATTTCCTTTTGTGGATTTTGGGAATGAATAGGAGGATAAGTGGGGAGAGATTTAACTCTTTATCTTGCTATGGTAGATGGTGCGTTTCAATGATAATACTTCAAGCTGCCAGAGACATCTCAGCATTATGTTACCAGTCTCTGTTCTTCTTTGATGTTTCATCTTTTCAAAATATATACTAGACTGATATTTAAAGAAAAACCAAGCTGTGAGTGTCTTTCAGCAGGGGCAATACACACATATTTTTAATATCAAAGCAACAGAGAAAAATTTAAACACACTTCTTTATTTTCATCTTCAGATGTCTACTAACTGTTGGATAGTTTAATTTTTTTTTTAATCTTTTCAAAGAAAAATAAAACATTTATGCACTTTAAAAAAAAATTCTCCACGTTGCTGAATTAATTTGATGTACAATTTCTGTAAATTTAAGAGAGAACTTATTAGAGCCCACCACGATATTTATGCCTTCAAAAACCTTCATTGGAATTACTTACCAACTGC